TTCACATTATTAATACACAATATAAATCAAATAAACACTAAAGCCATGAATGTTTGGACCAAATTTTATTTTAATTACTGCAATAAATGTTGAGATATTCGACTCAAAACTACAAAAGTGAACCTCTGGGTGGCGCTAGAGGAAAAGTGAGGGGATCACCAAAGTCGGCAGGATTCATCCTCCGGGGAACTTTAATATTTGTACCAAATTTCACTGCAATACATCAAACAGTAGTTGAAATATTGAAGTCTGGACCAAAAGGACACTGACATCCACTAATGTGGTTATAAAGTATGGGAGTGTCAGTGCCAATGTGTTGAAACAAAAAAGGAATCCAGTCACTATAATGAAGACATTAATTTGAGATATTAATTCATTATTTTGAAAAGGTTTGGCATTATAATGACTGACAGGATGCTTTTTTTAAAATCACATTGGCAGAAATGGGCTTCCATAATAAAGTCAGGGCAGCGCTACCTCAATACGTATCAACAACAAAGTATCAACAACAAATACTTTTAGTGTGTTAAATTACTGATGCATTACCACAGTAAGCAGTTTTACACCTTGCAGTATTTAAAGATATTCAGTTTTATGGACAGACATTTTAATAAATAAATAAAAACCACTGTTTTGTCTCTGTGTGTCTGTAGGTGGCTGAAGCTGTGGCCGCTTTCCTGCTGAGACACAAGTTTGCTGAAGCCAGAAGAGAAACCAGAAGGTAAAATATTTAAATAACTGACAAAAGGAGCCAAAACTGTTTGCTTCTTTTCTCCATTTTCATTAAAAAATATACCTGAAACTGATTAAAAATGTTGTCGGTTGTCTCCTCAGCTCCAACTCGTTCACACGATGAGGTCTACAGGTAAGATTTATTATCAGGAAAATGTTCTTAAAGTATGAAAAGTAAAAGTACTCAAAACAGATAAATGAACCCTGTGAGTGTAAACAGTATAACTTACAATGATTAGATTATTACTCTGCATTAATGTTTTAAACTGTTTATATCAGGCTGCAATGATTATTATCATTTAATCTGCGTTCTTGATTAATAATTAATTCTATGTTATAATTAATTATTATAAAGTTCAGCGACACCTTTAAATGTCCGACCGACAGCCTGAAAGCTCTAAATTATTCAGTTTAAAAAGCTGAAACCCTGACATGTTTAATAATAGTTGACTAATCAACTAAATAATTACTCGACTTATTGTTAAAGCTCAAATGTTATATATATATATTACATATATTACATTTTAACTTGAAAGGTTCTTCATGTCATTTATATTTTTTCATGTTTAAAGTCAGTCAGATAAATGTAAGGTAGTAAATTTTACTTTACTTTAAATTTACTTTCACCACTAAATTAAATGAATAAAAAAAGAAATGTTGGATTTAGACGTATATACCAAACAATAATGAAACAAAACCCACAAAATTCATCAATATTTGCAGATAAAATATGAACTTTCTGACCAACTATGAGAAACTGATAACTTCTCTCTTTCAGACGAGTAAACGAACTCCAGATTCAGAGCGAACTGCTTTGCTTCCACAAGTTCCTAAAGACCCGCACAGACCTTCATTTTTATTTTCCATCTTCATCCTTCATCAGAAGCTGCTCTCTAGTTTCAACCTCAGGCTGTAGCTGGGAACCAGTTGTTTTATTGTTTCTGCTCCATTATTAAGGCATTTACCTCCAAACATTATTGTGTTTTGCATTTGGTGATGGAAACACTTTATATTGGAGTCAATTTCTTTAAAAAATACTTATTGTAAGTGAAAATTATGACATTCTGAGTCATAATTACACAATAATAAAGACAGAAACTATGACTGTATGTCAATAGTTCAGGAAATTAAGTTACAATTTAACTTAGTAAGCCAAATCAAGAGACTATAAAAATGATTTAGTAGCTAATTTTGAGGTTTAAAGAAATCTATGACAGTAGGTTAAAAATATCAGCCACAATTTTAAACTTACTAAACCGACTTCTCAGACTTTTCTTATTATTATCTAACAGCTAGCTCATCAACACATTCAGGATGGTCTACACTTCCTCCTACCAACAAAAATGAAGCTAAAATATCTTTAAGAGTCTGCGCAGTATCGGGGCATGGAGCTGTGGTATCGAAGTGAAACCCCCGTTTTATATCTTCAAACACTTTAACAAACATTCTTGTGACAAAAACTACCTAAAATGTCAGAAACGATCTTTTGTGTCAAACATTTATTTGACGTGTATTGTGAGCGTCCATACGTTGATGAGCTAGCTAGAACCGCACCACCACCGTCAAACCTCCATTTCGAGCTGCTTTCAATAATAAAATGTTAATGTTAAACACTTACAGCTAGACTTTCTGGCTGAGCGGGATTTAGATGGCTTTAGGTCAAATTACCAACCTAGTTAGCTTGTTATCTTATTAGTATTCCTCAAGTTTACTTCTTACTTCTCAATAGATGATGATAAAGATGAATTTTGGATGAATTTCTCTGTTTGTCTGTGTTCAATAAAGACATTCTTGGATGTACCCATTGTTTACATACGTTGTGTAGCGTTAGCGCCTTTTCTGCAGTGTCCTTAGACAAATGTGTTCATAAAGTTCACTGTTATTTATCTGCGTGTCCTTTTTGTGTCTTTGTTTTATCATTAGTGATATTGTGTTTATGTTTGTTTTAGTATAATAAGAAAAAATGCTAGTTAGCTAATATTAGCTAACTAATCTACATCAGTAGGTTGGTAGCGAGTTAGCTAATAAAAATTGTTTTATTTTATTTTCCTTTTTTCCCCATTGTATTCTACGACGGAGTATTAGGGCCAGACTAAGAGAAAAAAATATATTATTTTATCTTGTTTGGAAATTACGAGAATAAAGGTGAAATATTGGCGGAAATAATGTAATATTGCGAGAATAAAGTTGTAACATTTACGAGAATAAAGTCGTAATATTGCGGAATAAAAGGTAACATTTACGAGAAAAAAGTCGTAATATTACTAGAAAAAAATCATAATATTGCGAGAATAGAGTAATTTTATGAAGAACTGTCAGCCTGTTGGCTCAGCCAGCAAAACTGTTTAACGACGAAATGATGAATATGTTAGTTTACCTGTTGACTGTACTGACTGAGACAAACAGCAGCTGGGCTCAGACTGAGACTGCTGATTGGTTGAGCTGGTCCTGTCAGATCTTGATAACTATCGAAGCTGTTTTCTCATTAAAACAACTTTTTTTCTTGTATTTCTTACATTATACTCTTATTATTACGACTTTATTCTCGTAATATTATGACTTTATTCTCGTAAGGTTACTTTATTCTCGTAACATTATGACTTTATTCTCATAATTTCCAAAAAAGAATACATATTTTTTTCTCTTAGTCTGGCCCTGATACTCCGTCGTAGTATTCAAAGAGGTATTGAGTATCGTTTTTTACACTAGTAATAAAGTTTTAAAATCTGGATGACCTCACGAGACAAAGAAAGAATTTGTGCCGCTTTCAGAAAATCTTGTAATTATGAGAAAAATTAAATAATTTTGAGTTATGTATTTTAATATGATCATGTTGTTGTAATTACTTAGATAAGTCATAATTATAATGACTTTTTGGTAGAAACTTCAGTAATAGACGGTGGTTTAATTTTACTTACATAGATTCGTAAAATATTCAATCTATATCCATATGTTATATTTTATATATATTTTTTATATTGCTGCTTGCAATATATCAGTTATCAGTATGTTCATTCCTTAAATTTTAGATGTCTCTTCACTGTATCTACATACTGTTACTGCTGGATGCTTGACCTAAACCTCTTTAAAATCCTCCTTAAATGATTTAAAAACAAAATGAGCATTAATGAGAAATCAGTCAGTCATTGTGTTTGTAAAAGAATAAAAGGATATGTTTGTTATCAGGAATAAAAACGCAAGAAATGCACACAAGACCAGATATACAAGATGTAAACTGTTAATTAGTTATATATATATATATATACACACACATTTAATTTGGAAAAACAAACAAAATGAGACACAACACCAGACTGGAATAAAAACAAAAACTTGCAATAAAATTTTATTTAAATTCTGTCCTGAATCAGAACACGTGCAACAACTGAAACACAGAAACAACATGGCGTCACGCCGCCTTGTATTTACACGTGTGTATGTAGGTATTTTTGTGTTTGCGTGCACAGGACAACCACACAAACAGACGCTCTGAAAAACAATTAATATTGTAGAAACACACACGACACCATTTCACACCCTGTTGTCATGGTAGCAGAGGGGTTAACGCGGCTACATCGCATCGTATCGTCTCTCTGGAAGGATCTGAAACGTCTGTTTTTGTTCTTTTGCTTTTGTTTCTTTGCAGATGATGCCGTCTTCTATAGCTGTGATTTAACACTAATTTAACACAATCAGAACTGCTGAAATGTACTTAAATCCACCAACAAGCAGGCGGCGTAGAGATTATAATGTATAATCCCCAGTGGGATTACGTGGCTCAGGATTCACCTGCCTCATAAACTACAACACAAATTACAATATATGGCAAAAATATATGGCAGTCAGTCTACAAATTTGTACAATTTGTAGTTTAAGGTCTATCAGATCTTTATCAACATCACACAAAACAATCTCCCACATTTCCAACATAGAAATCATACAGGAAGACAAGAAAAGAGAATAAAAACAAATAGCTGGTTAGCAAAGCAAAACACGAGCTACCTAATCTGCATCAATCATTAGCTAGGTAGTTACATCTGAAAACTAATGTTAGCAAAACGCTAATTTACATAAATCATTATATTTTGCTAACATTAGCTAATTTATATGCTTACATAAATTGTTAGTTAGCTAGTTAGCCAACTTTTGCTAACAGTAGCTAACTTGATGCAGATTAGAAAGTTTATGTAAACTAACTAGTTAGCTAATCAACATCACTAGTGAGATAGATAGCTAGTTAGCATTTTGCACATTTGCGGGTTTTGGTACCAAAATAATACTTTAAGAAACATAACTAAGAAAAGAAACTAAACTTCTCAAATGTAAAATTTTGTCAAAACAAAAGCAGCAAAACAGACATTTGGAAAAACTTGATGACATATACAGAGTCACATCCTAAGTTAGCTAATGTTAGCTCATTTACAATCGTTATAAAGCTAATTAACTAGCATTTTGCTACAGAACAAAACAATAGCTAACTAGCTACCTAACGACTGATGTAGATTAGCGAGTTAATGTACATCAATCGTTATTAAGGTAGTCAGTCAACATTTTGCTAACATTAGGTAACTTAAGATGTGACTAATATATATTTTCAAGATAAACGAGCGATCCCGTACATTCCCAACATAGAAATCTTTTTAAAAAAGGCAAGAAAAGAGAATAAAGTGGAAAACAAACAACAACCGAAGTGGGAAAGAATCAAAGTAAAATACAGCGGAAATAAAAGTCGGAGAGAAATTTAAATGTCCGTTGAGAGCGATCGGGAGTATAAAAGGAGAGATCTATCAGAACCTTCCAGAGAAACAGAATTAAAGTGCATCAACAAAAGAGGCGAAGCAACCAATGAAAACACAGCATTCGGCGAAAACAAAGAACCAATCAGACGTCATTACTGGCAGTGACACGAGGGTCCCATTTTAACTCGTTAGCTTATTGAAAAACTTTTGATTTTGATTTATAAAATCTATTATTTCTATCAAGACTAAAACGTCATTGAAATGATCTCGTCTCCAATCTTACATTTTTGATTTACTCATAATTATAACAGTCGTAGTTATAAAATGAGATCTTGTTATTTTCTTTGAATCTGTTTACGTTAACGAAGCAGGAAATCACGTTAAGTGTCACAAATAATCGTAAACAGAAAATATCTGCGTTCATCTTTAGGTGTGAAATGGACAAATGTATGGAGGTATTTTAGTGCCCAAACATACCGAATCTGAAGTTTAATAGTTTAATATTAAATTATTTGAATCAATCAATTATTGTGTCGGCACTAAAATAACTCGTTTTTCCCCATTCACACGTAAAAATCCCTAAAAATGACATAACAGATCCGTAAAGCTTTCTAATTAGTGTATTTACGTTAACTAGCTCGTTAAAACGGGTTAAAGTTATTAAGGAAGGGCAGTCATAGCTAAATAGCTACTCTACTTCAATTGTTAGCTAGGTAGTAACATCTGAAAACTAAACGCAAGTTAGCTATTGTTAGCAAAATGTTGGCTAACTAGTTAACTAACAGCTAATGTAAATGAGCATTTTGCTAACAGCAGCTAACTTGATGATAGCTGGTTAATTTGATGTAGATTAGCTAGTTATTGTTAGCGAGCTAGCTAATCTACATCAATAGTTAGATAGTTAGCATTTTGCACAAACGCAGGGCTTTGGTACCGATACCAAAGCAATACTTTTACTTTGAAAAATATAACTAACAAAATAAACTAAACTTCTCAAATGTAAAATGTTATCAAAACAAAAACAGCCAAACAGAAATTAACCTAAAAAAAAAAAAAAAAAAAGACTGAAATCAGAAACTATTTGATCAAAGAGACATTTTTGACGCCAGCTTTCTGTATTTGACCGTTTTTGATGATTTGACACATTTTGGGTTTGTAATGAAACTTTATTTGAGGTTCGATCTGGATATTTAAAGGTGGGACCGACATGCCACAGCAGCCTCAGTCTCGACAGGAAGGAGGAGGGTTGAGTTCACTTTCACTACGTTGGCAGCAGAATCGCAGTCGCATTAAAAACAAAACAATGAAACAGTGCAAATGTGAAAATAACAATTAAATCCCTTGAAAATAAAGCTTATAAACACAAAAGTAAGTGACTTTAATTAAAAACATTATTCGCTTAAAATTGGCCAAGACAAGGCGATACAAACCCATTGTTCGCATATTACAGCAAACACGCTCTGCGCCACTGTTACAGGTGTTTAAATTAACTAGTGTTTGTTATATAGCTGATAACTGAGAATGAACTCGTCCTCGGATGTTAAACCGAGGAGAGACGACAGATTAAAAGTAGGAAGAAACTTAAAAATACTTACTTTCTGAACCTGAGGGGAAATTAACTCGTTGGAAGGACTGGAAACACAAACACTTTTCATCCCGGGGTTTTATTTTGGAGGCGGTTTTCTTTGCCTGAATTTACAGACTCATCTTGTCCTGGAAGTTGCTTTAATTTGAAAAACAATATGTACATAAAAAGGCCGTTAAAAGACCTTCACTTCAATTTATTGTTTTAGGTCCTGAATTCAGTTTGAGGAAGTCTGTTTGAATTAATTTTAAGACATTAGCATCGAAAGAGAGGCGGGAAATAAACAGTGTTGGTCTACACTCGGGCTCAAATGACCCTTCGTAAGCCCCGCCCACTTTTGGCTCTCTGCTCCAATCACAGTCGAGCAAGCCTCGGTCAACTTCCACCTTAGATATGCTACGTGCTAGGCTTTTACTCTTTTCAACCTAGATTAGCCTAGCACGTAGCATATCAAAGCACAGGAAAGGAGGGAAATTGATCGAGGCTTGCGCAACCGTTATTGGAGCAGAGAGCCAAAAAGGGGCGGGGCTTAGGACGGTTAAATTCTCTCGGGTTCAGTTTTCCTCCGGCTACATCGACTATCGGATCCTGAATGTTTACAAACAAACAAACTTCCAATAGTTTAAATTCATGTCATGAATTTGCGTTCCGTATGTACAATTACACAAATAATCAAACACTTAAATCTGCCGATCAATACTCAATCACATTGAGGATCACCAGGTCGTGAGGGGGGAGGGAGGTCAGTCTTTGCTGCTGGGTGTCTCTGTTACAAAAATAAACTTCTCCTCTGGTATCAAAATAGATGACAATCTTTTTTTTTTTTTTTTAATCTCTCGTTTCAGGAAGCTCGCGGTTGCCCGGCGACAAACCGCGACGCGACCCCTCGCCGCCCGCGCGGCGCAGTGAATCTGTGGAATACGCGTTTTCATATATTTACACTCACTAAAGCGGGGAAAGCTTTTGCTCTTAATGTGTTTCTACGACTGTGTAAACCTATTTTATTTTTTAAACGCCTTTCACAGTTTGTTTTGGTGGCGTTAATTTAAAAAGGGCAGCTAACACGCCGTCTGCGGCGGACACACATGCGGGTTCTTAGTTCACGTTTGCTCACGTTTCAGAGAAGAGATCCCCTGACTAGCTACGTTAAAGATCTGATGATTGTCGGGGTTTAAAGTTTGTTCTTTGTTTTATTTTTAAAAGGCAGCACGGGGGGGAAACGGACACGTGGTGGTCAGGCAGACGGACGGTGAAACAACAAAACAAGGCAACAATAAAGGCAGGGTTCCTACAAGGCGTTATACCGAATGTTCGGGCTCAGGAGAGACGGCCACGATGGAAGACTGATGGGGAAAGTCTGTGTATCTGACGCCAGGCGGACGCTGCACGAGTTAAACCCAAATTATCAGACCGAATTTCTAACAGATCGTCGGATTGCAAACCCAAGATGACGGACTCTGATCTCTCTGAGGAAATTATTAATGATATTTACGATTAATAACGTAACGCAGCACATTTTTGCGACGTTTAACCTAAATTTCGCTCAATTTTGAGTGTTTTCTTACTCGTTTAGTAGTCTGAATTTTAATTTAAAATCAGCGTGAGCATCCCAAAGTGAACAGAACAGGATCGTGCAGTGTCTGCCCGGCGGTAAACAAGTTTAACTGCTGATAAACTACTACAAGAGGAGAACAGGTGGATGGTGCAGCTGAAAACTCTCCATCATTGTGGCATTTCTCCCCATGAACGCTTCGAAGACCCAAGCTGCAAGATCTTCCCACTAGTGTCACACGTTTATTGTTATTATTTAAATTCTTGTAGTGAAATCCTACATTTCGTCAACCTTTCTCCTACCTTATAATACTCTGCACGGCCCGGCTAACAGTCAACAGCACGTTCTCACATAGGAACCCTGTTTTGTTTGGAGCCTCGGGAAGCATCCAAACCAAAATACTGTCGGAGTATCTTGAAGATTAAAAAGGAGCCTAGAAACCTACAGACAGGCAGAAAGAGGAATTAAAACACTGTGTAGTTGCTAATCAATACTGCAGTCAAACTGTAGCTCTAATACTGCCACCGTTTTTAGCAAAATAAAACAACAAAAACTGAATCTTCTGCCCAGAGTAGCTGGTGTGTCCTTTCAAAATAAAAGTCAGTCACCGCATCCAGAAACAAAAATCGAAAAAAAAAAAAAAAGGGGCTAATTTAACCTTCCAGACCAGGACGAGCTCAGAGGTTTAAAGTTTTTGTGCCTCTTTATCAGGAAAAACCCATGTGACAGAATTTTCCAGCAGAAGGTCCGAAGACGAGAGTCGACTCCCGGTCCTGGTCTTGGTCCTGGTCCTGGATTTCGCTGTCAGACACAACCAGGAAGTTTTAATGCATTCATCCTCCAGATTGGCTCATTTGGCGGACGACTTCCTCAGGTTCTACCCTGTTTCCACACGAGTTTCAGTGTTTCTCGGAGTATAAACGCGTTCGAATCCCGTCGAGTTCCACAACATCTGAAATGAGTCGGAGCTTCTGTTCCGAGAAACAGCGTCAACAGAGGCAGCGACAGACGGAGTTATATCTCCGGGTTAAACACACACTGGATAAAGTTCTGGGTTCGGGGTCTAACCGGTCCAAGAGGAGACTAAAAACCAAACCAGGTCGGGAACCAAGAACCAACTCACACGCACAAAGTCCTGCTTTTAGACGAGTTGGTTTGGTTTTATATCACACGGACGACAATGCTGACTATGTGTTAAACCCAGAACCGGGTCCTGGGTCCTGAGTGCATTCAGGTCCGCTGAACCTGATCGGAGTCCTTTTTTTGGGGGTGGGGGTGGGGGATCTGGTTCGGTTCTGTTCGGCTCCTCTCAGGACTTGTCCCCCAGCTGAGACTGCTCCATGGACCCCTCCTCGTCCGAGAGACCCGTTTCCACGGTGATGACCAGGGACGCCACCGAGGCGCTGCTCGCCATCGGCTGTAGCTCACCTGGAGGAGAGAGCGAGGAGTCAGACTGAAGATTAACAAACGATTAATAATAATAATCTTTAGTTTGTAGTTAGAGGTTGAATCTGAAACCGGTTTCTGTTCCAGCAGGTAAAAATAAAAACATCTTTTCCATTTATATTATCGTCTTTAATTAAAAGGTTTTAATGGATTCTTCTTCAAAAACAAATAAACAAATAAACAAAGAACAATGTTTTGTTATTGAGACTTTAACTGCAGCAGCATGATGAGAAACACCACCGGGTGGCAGTATAACACCTGTGTGTATGTTACCTGTGTGTCCTGTGTGTGTTGATGTGAGTGTGTGTGTTACCTGTTGTGGTGTTGTTATCCTGTGTGGTGTGTGTGTGTGTGGTTACCTGTGTGTGTTGTGTGACTGTGTGTGTGTTACCTGTGTGTGTGTGTGACCTGTGTGTGTGTGTGTGTGGTGTGACCTGTGTTTGGGTGTTGTGTGTGACCATGTGTGTGGACCTGTTGTGTGTGACCTGTGTGTGTGACCCTGTGTGTGTGTGGTGGTGTGTGTGTGTGACCCTGTGTTGTGTTGTGTGTGTGGTGCTGTGACCTGTGTGTGTGTGTGTGACCTGTGTGTGTGTGTGTGTGTGTGTGTGACCTGTTGTGTGTGTGTGTGTTGTGTGTGACCTGTGGTGTGTGTGTGTGTGTTGTGTGTGTCCTGTGTGTGTGTGTGTGTGTGTGTGTGACCTGTGGTGGTGTGTCCTGTGTGTGTGTTGTGTGTGTTTACCTGTGTTTGTCCTGTGTGTGTGTTGTGTGGTTGTGTGTGTGATGTGTGTGTGTCCCTGGTGTGTGTGGTGTGTGGTGTGTGTGTGACCTGTGTGTGTGTCCTGTGTGTGTTGTGTGTGTGTGTGTTTACCTGTGTGTGTGTCCCTTGTGTGTGTGTGTGTGTACCCTGGTGTGGTGTCCTGTGTGTGTGTGGTGTGACCTGTGTGTGTCCTGTGTGTGGTGACCTGTGTGTGGGTTCCTGTGTGTGGTGTTGTGTGTTGTGTGTTACCTGTGTGTGTGTTTACCTGTGTGTGTGTTACTGTGTGTGTGTGTGTGTGTTACCTGTGTGTGTGTTACCTGTGGTGTGTGTGTGTGTTACCTGTGTTGTGTTACTGGTGTGTGTTGTGTGTTTACCTGTTGTTGTTGGTTGTGTGTGTGTGTGTGTGTGTGTGTGTTACCTTGTGTGTGTGGTGTGTGTTGTGTGTGTTGTGTGTGTGTGTGTGTTACCTGTGTGTGGTTACCGTGTGTGGTGTGTGTGTTAACCTTGTGTGTGTTACCTGTGTGTGTGTGTGTTACCTGTGTGTGTTACCTGTGTGTGTGTGTTACCCGTGTTGTGTTACCTTGTGTTTGTGTGTGTGTTACCTGTGTGTGTGGTGTGTGTTACCTGTGTGTGTGTTGTGTGTGTTACTGTGTGTGTGTGTGTGTGTTACTGTGGTGCTGTGTGTGTGTGTTACCTGTGTGTTTTTACCTGTGTGTGTGTGTGTTTTACCTGTGTGTGTGGATTACCTGTAGGTGTGTGTGTGTTGTGTGTGTGTTACCTGTGTGTTGTGTGTGTGTTACCTGTGTGTGGTGTGTGTGTGTGGTTACCTGTGTGTTGTGTGTGTTGTTACCTGTTGTGTGTGTGTGTGTGTTACCTGTGTGTGTGTGTTGTGTGTTACCTGTGGTGTGTGTGTGTGTTACCCTGGTGTGTGTGTGTGTGTTACCTGTGTGTGTGTGGTGTGTGTGTTTACCTGTGTGTGTTGTGTGTGTGTGTTACCTGTGTGGTGTGTGTGTGTGTTACCTGGTGTGTGTGTGTGTGTTAACCTGTGGTGTTGTTGTGTGTGTGTTACCTGTGGTGTTGTGTGGTGGTGTTCCTGTTGTGTGTGTGTGTGTGTTACCCTGTGTGTGTGTATAACCTGTGTGTTACTGTGTGTGGTGTGTGTTACCTGTGGTTGTGTCCTGTGTGGCTGTCAGTTGGGCTGTCTCCTGAGGGTGTCGGGGTCCTGGTAGTCCTAGCGGAGTCCACCGCCGCACGCCGGGGTCCAGCACCACGAGGAGCCGCCCTCGCTCCAGCGTGCCGTCGCTCGACGCCCAGACACCACGGCCTCCAGCGCCAGGGCCGACTCCGCACCACCCGCCGACTCCGCCCACGCCGCCCCAGAGCGAGGTCGTAGTCCAAGCGGCAAGGTCGTCCAGACAATCTGCGTTCAGCTGGAAGAGAGAGGAAACGGCTTCAATCATTATGGATTAGATATATTTTTCACTGGAAGAGGAACTTTAAACGCTTCCTGTAAATATTATTAACAACTTTTATTATTTAAATCACAGTTTTAAGTTAAATTTCCCTTTAAAAAAATGTAACATTGAGCTACTTTTATGTGTCAACTTCGCTCTAAGTTGGGCTTCCAAAACATCATACACCAAAAAACATGTAATTAAATGATTTTTAAATATTGTTTGTATGCTCGATCTGGTTTTTAATAAATGTATTTAATGACGTCCCTCAGTTGGTGGAACTTCTCCTGAGCAAACCAAGTTAAAAAAACAACCCCTCCTCCTCTCCCGGTGACTCCTGAGAGACTCACTGGCGATTGCCCCAGGGCTTTTGAGGATGTTTCATCTTGGCACATTGGAAACGTGGCAGTGATCCAGCAGCCACGGATCCACGCAGGCTCTTTATGGAACAAATGTCTGAGGAAGAAAAACACCAACAGTTCATCTGCAGCCGGACGAACGTAACGGCCGGACGACAACCGCCGCAGGAGGAATTCGAACTTCCAGCTGATTCGACCTTTTGTGAATTAAAAGAAGAATTCGGAGAAACATGTTTTTATTTTTATATCTCGTACAAAACAAAACAACACAACACTGTTTATTTCTTTTATCGTGCACAAAGTGTTGTGTGTGTTGTGTGGTTACTGTGTGTGTGGTGTGTGTGTGTTACTGTGTGTGTGTTTGTTGTTCTCTGTGTGTGTGTGTTTGTGTGTCTCTGTGTGTTACTGTTGTTGTTTGGTGTGTGTCTCTGTGTGTGTGTTTGTGTGTCTCTGTTGTGTGTGTGTTGTGTTCTCTGTGTGTGTGTGTGTGTTTGTGTGTGGTGTAATCTGTGTGTGTGTGTGTTGTGTGTGTGTCTCTGTGTGTGTGTGTGTTTGTGTGTGTCTCTGTGTGTGCCCTCTGTGTCTGTGTGTTTGTGTGTGTGTGTCTCTGTGTGTGTGTGTCTCTGTGTGTGTTGTCCTCTGTTGTGGTTGTTTGGTGTGTGTCTCCTGTGTGTGTCTCTGTGTCTGTGGTGTTTGTGTGTGTGTCTCTTGTGTGTGTTGTCTCTGTGTGTGTGTGTGTTGTGTCTCTGTGTGGTGTGTGTGTGTCTCCTGTGTGTGTGGTGTTCTCTGTTGTGTGTGTGTGTTCTGTGTTGTCCTGTGTCTGTGTTGTGTCTCCTGTGTCTGTGTGTGTGTGTGTGTGTGGTGTGTCTCTGTTCTGTGTGTGTGGTCTCTGTGTGTGTGTTTGGTGTCTCTGTGTGTGTGTTGTGTGTGTCTTGTGTGGTGGTGTGTGTGTGGGTGTTGTGTCTCTGTGGTCGTGTGTGTGTGTGTGTGTTGTTCTCTTGTGTGTGTGTGTTGTGTTGTTCTCTGTTCTGTGTTGTTTGTGTGTGTGTGTCCCTCTGTGTGTTTGTCTTGTGTGTGTGTGGTGTTCTCTGTTGTCGTTCTCTGGTTGTGTTCTCTGTTGTGTGTTGTGTGTGTCTCTGTGTTGTGTGTGGTGTTGTGTGTCTCTGTGTGTGTGTGTGTTCTGTGTGTGTTGTGTTGTGTGTGTGTGTGTCTCTTGTGTGTGTTACTGTGTGCGTTACTGTGTGCGTGTGTGTGTTTTGTGTCTGTGTTACTGTGTCTGTGTGTGTAATGTGTTACTGTGTGTGTGTGTGTTGTGTTGTGTTGTGTGTGTTTTATAAAATCTGTGGAAGAGAACTACACAGATTATTTCCAGTGTTTTCCAAACTGACAAACTAGTGTGTAAGTTTCCAGGTGGTGTAAGTTTCCAGGTGTGTAGTTTCCAGGTGTGTAAGTTTCCCAAGTGTGTAAGTTTTCCAGGTGGTTTACCTGCAGGGCAGTATTCGGACCGACGTCGTTGGCGCTTGTAGCCATCGATGCAGAACGGCACAGTTGTCCGAAGTCCGGCCTCCCGTCTCCTGGTCGCTCCTTCCCTTGAATGGTGCGGAAACCTGCAGCTTGCTGATGGCCTTCTTTCGCCGCGTCGCCAAGACGACCGCTGTGGGGAGACGAGAGGATTAAAACCAAAAAAAACTCCTCGTTTGTATTTTCACAAGCTTCTCCTCCGTTCCCCGCGCTGAATCTGGTTTCTAATCCAGCTGTCGTCGTCTTTCTCCCCGGGAATCTGATCTCTGAAACAAAAGGGATTTCCTCTAGCCACGTAACTTTTATACTCCACTACATTCGTATTTTACTCCTTCCTTTATTTCCCATCATGGTGAATATCCCTCAGGAGGGATTTTGAAGAAGGAGTTTCTCATCGTTAAAGTAAAACCGGAATTGGAGAATACGACCAGGAGATGAATTCTCTCAAAAAACACATAAAAAAGTCAGATTTTTAATGAATTAAATGTATAATGTAATAATGAAGTTGTAATATTTGTCCACAGTTATTAATAAAAATGCACATACGCGTTAATGCAGCTGTAATATTAAGTAATAACACTTTTGTACCTTTTAAGTTCAGTTTTATCATTAAAAAAGTGTTAAATTTAAGATTTTTTTTTTAGGTTTGCTACCGAACAAACTGTTTTCTTACTTAACTGTCTGTAGAAAAAGATGTAAAATACTTTAAAATAATGTTGTTTATCGACATTTAAAACCTTTTAAAAACCTCCGATTTTGCACCTTTTGCACATTTGTATTAACTGTGCCAGCTGGAAACAAAAAGAGTGATGGGGAGGAGAAAAGGTCCAAAGCAACAACAACTCCTCCCTACGCTGTTTTCAGACTCAATATCAAAGAACGCCAATAAACAGAATCTATAACGTATCAATAACATCTGCTGTCGACTGATGTCCTGAAAAGACGAAGTAAATGACCCTTTTCCTCTGCTGAACATTTAAACATTTGTTAAATTGTAGACACGTTCAACCCTCCCACGACTGCACAAACCGAAACCCGCCGTCTTCCTGTCACCACGACAGTTAAAATAAACTGTTGTTCCCTTTAAATTGTTTTAAAATCAAGAAAGCTGCTGTAAAAATGTTCTAAATTAATTATTTGTTTCGACTTTATTGAGTCAAACTTTTTAGAATTATTCTTTAAATAAAAGATTAAAATATTTATTTGTTTTGGGATTTTAACTCTTTTAAAGGTCGACATGTTTACAACTCTGCTGCACCACACACCACACACAGAGTACACCACACACACAGACACACAGAGCACAACACACAGACACACACACACACGACACAAAAACAAACCACACACAAAAAAACACACAACACACACAAAAACAAACACACAAAACAAAACACATAACCCAAACACACCACACACAAAAACAAACACACACACAAAACAAACCACAAAAACAAACACACATACACACAAAAACAACACACATACACACAAAAACAAACAACACACACACACACAAAAACAAACACAACCACCACCACACACAAAAACAAACCACACCACAAAACAAAACCACACACCACCACAGACACTAAAATTAAAACCCTTAAAACAGTAAAGGTCAAAGGTACGTGACCCCGGTTGGACCCGGTTGGACCCGGTTGGACCCGGCTGGACCCGCTGGCGGTCCGGTCCCCGTACCTGGTTCCGGTCGCGTGCGTTGGCCGTATCTGAACCTTCTGGATGTAGTAGAAGACGAGCCAGGCGAGCGAGATGATCATCAGCACGATGAAGAGATGGACACACACCACCCGACGTCCTGCTCCACTGTACTCCTGCAGGTTTCCTCGCCCGATGGTGAATCGTCATGGTGACCGTCAGTTGCGCTCCAGCAGGGACGCCACCTCGCGGCCCTTTGGCTCCGGGATCATGAGGCGACCACCTCACCTGTACCTGCGGAGAGGAGCCGGGGCGGAGGTCAGTCCCTCACAGAAAGATCCCTCCCAAACCTCCAAACTGAAGACACCTCGTACACACAAAGCGGAAAGGGACGAGGAGAATCGAACTGACCGGTTAACAATGTTGCATTCTGGGCTTTTTCTGGGGACAAATTCTGTTTCTTGACAAAATTATGAATGTTTTTTGTCAGTTTTTGTTGTTTTTTTTTGTTGTTTTTTTGTTGTTTGTCGTTTTTTTGTCCGTTTTTGTCCGTTTGTTGTTTTGTCGTTTTGTCGTTTTGTCGTTTTTTTGTCGTTTTTGTGTTTGTCATTTGTTGTAGTTTTTTTGTTTTGTTTTGTCGTTTGTCGTTTTTGTTGTTTTTTGTTTTGTTTTTGGTCGTTTTTGTTGTTTGTTGTTTTTTTGTTGTTTTTTCGTTTTTTTGTTGTTTTTTTTGTTGTTGTTTTGGATCGTTTTTGTTGTTTGTTGTTTTTTGTGTTTTTTTGCAATGAAAACTGAGAGAAGTGAAACATTTGCTGTAATTTCTTTTGTATAAATCTTTAAAAACTAAACCGTAATTTGATTCCAGTGAGAATAACATTTGCTCGTAGTTTTTAATATATTTAACACATTTCTCCTCCTTTTCCTGAACAAGTTCGGCAAGAAATAAAGTAAATCGAGAGGAGTCTCTTTCTGCGATTGATTTTTTAATGTAAACTCATGTGACACGTGGTAAACAATTTGGGAACGTTTTGCAAGCATCAAATTCAATGTGAGCTGACATATTTTGTTAAAAAAAAACAAACAATAAAGTTATCAGTTTGAACATTAAAATATCTTTACATGTATTTAATTAAATATAGGTTGGAAACGATTTATTCTGTTTTTAATTTACGTTTTACAAAAAACCCGCGTCCCAACTTCACTGGAATGGGTTTTATATCTGTTTGTTTGTATTTGTTTATATTTGTTTATGTTTTGTGTACGTTTGTGTACGTTTGTTTACATTTGTGTACGTTGTTTAACATTTGTGTACGTTTGTTTTACATTTGTGTACGTTTGTTTAAAACATTTGTTTTGTTTGTGTTTTTACATTTGTTTGTGTTTTGTTGTTTATACTTGTTTTTGTTTTGTTTGTTTAACTTGTTTGTTGGTTGTATCTGTTTGTGTTTTTTATTACTTGTTGTGTTTGTTTTATACTTGTTTGTGTGTTTATACTTGTTTGTGTTTGTTTATACTTGTTTGTTGTGGTTTTTTTGTGTTTGTTTATACTTGTTTGTGTTTGTGTGTGTTTGTGTGTTTGTTGGTCGATCCACGCAGCCAAGTTGATCACTCCGTCTGTCGGAGAGAACGGAGTTTCCTGAAGTTCGGAGGAAGAAAGAAGAAAGAAGAAGTGAGTCGTTCTCTCTTCTTCTTCTCACTCCTCCTCCGCGGTAAACGACGGCCAAAGAAAACCTCCGAGCAGCATCTCCGTTCTCGGACGTGTCCGCTGACCCTGGTCAAGGTCAAGCGGCGCCCGTGTCAGCTGGTGACGACTACGAGCAAAACATCTGAGAGAAAACCACGCGACAACCCATCGACTGCCTCTCCCTCCTCTCTCTCCTCCTCCTCCCTCTCCTCCCTCCTCCCTCCTCTTCCTCCTCCTCCTCATCTCTCTCCTCTCCTCCTCCCTCTCCTTCTCCCTCATCTCTCTCTCTCCCTTCTCCTCCTCCTCCTCTCCTCCTCCTCCCTCTCCTCTCTCTCCTCCTCCTCTTCTCTCCTCCTCCTCCTCCTCTAACTCCCTCTCCTCCTCCTCTCTCTCCTCCTCCTCCTCTCTCTCTCCTCACTCCTCCCTCCCTCTCATTCCTCCTCCTCCTCCTCTCACTCTCTCCTCCCTCTCTCTCCTTCCTCCTCCTCCTCCCTCTCCCCTCTCTCTCTCCTCCTCCCTCTCCTCCTCTCCCTACTCTCCTCCTCACTCTCCCTCTCTCTCCTCCTCCTCCCTCTCCCATCTCTCCTCCTCTCTCTCCTCCTCCTCCTCCTCTCCTCTCTCTCTCTCTCCTCCTCCTCCTCCTCACTCTCTCTCTCTCCTCCTCTCTCTTTCCTCCTCCTCCCTCTCTCGTTCCTCCTCATCCTCCTCCTCCTCTCTCATCCTCCTCCTCCTCCTCCCTCCTCCTCCCTCTCCCTCTCTCTCCTCTCCTCCCTCTCCTCCTCCTCCCTCTATCCTCCTCCTCTCTCCTCATCTCTCCTCCTTCCTCCTCTCCTCCCTACCCCGCCCCTCTCCTCTCCTCCTCCTCCTCTCCCTCTCTTCCTCCCTACTCCCTCTCCTCTCCTCCCTCCTCCTCCTCCTCCTCCTCCTACCTCTCCTCTCCTCCTCCTCTCTCTCCCCTCCTCCTCCCTCTCTCTCCTCCTCCTCCCTCTCCTCTCCTCCTCCTCTCTCTCCTCCTCCCTCTCCCGCCTCTCTCCTTCTCAATCCTCCTCCTCCTCCCTCTCCCTCTCTCCTCTCTTCTCCTTCCTCGCTCCCTCTCCCTCTCCTCCTCTCTCTCTCCTCTCCTCCTCTCCTCTCCTCTCCTCCTCGTCCTCCTCTCTCCTCTCCTCTCCCTCTCTATGTCTTCTCCTCTCTCTCTCTCTCTCTGTTCTCTCTCCCTCTCTCTTCTCTCCTCACTCCTCTGCCTCCTTCTCCTCCTCCTCTCCCTCTCCCTCCTCCATCCCTCCTCCTCTCTCTCTCTCCTCCCCCCCTCCAGGTGTGAGAAAGAACACGTCTGCTGCCGCCGGTTGTTGTTGTTTAATTCAGTCTGAGGTTTCCTTGTGACTGCGGCCTGACGAACACACCGAACACGTAACCCTGAAAACATGCTGAGCCCGTAGTTTATGTTCAGCTATAAAATGAGAGAGGAGGAGGAGGAGAGAGAGGAGAGGAGAGGAGGAGGAGGAGGAAAGAGAAGAGGAGAGAGAGAGAAGAGAGAGAGAGAGGAAGAGAGGGAGGAGGAGAGGGAAGAGAGAGGAGGAGGAGGAGGAAGGGAGGAGGAAGGAGGAGAAGAGAGGGAGAGGAGGGGAGAGGAGGAGGAGGAGAGGAGGAGGAAGGAGGAGGAGGGAGAGAGAGAGAGAGAGAAGAGAAGAGAGAGAGGAGAGAAAGGAAAAAAGAGAAAAGAAAAGAGAAAGAGAGAGAGAGGAGGAGAGGAGGAGAGAGGGAGAAGAAAGAACCATAGAGAGAGAGAGGAGAGGGAGGGATAGGGGGAGATAAAGAGACCAGAGAGAGAGAGAGAGAGAGAAGAGAGGAGAAGAGAGAGAGAGGAAAGAGAAGAGAAAGAGACCAGCCAAGAGAGAGAGGAGTAGGACCGAAGGGGCCCCAGCCTGAACGCCTCCTTGACGATGATGTTGTTATTATGAAGGTAAAATGTGAAAAACAGCAATTAAAATGAAGAATTAACGGCTCAAAACTCACCATTAGTAATTCTATTAACATTATGATTTTAAGAGTTTGTGTCAATTAACTTCTGACCTGAGTCTCTGGGCAGCTTCACGGACGTCTTTATCTGAAGTTCAGTCTGTGTGTGTGTTGTGTGTCTGTGTGTGTGTGTGTGTGTGTGTCTGCTGTGTGTGTGTCGTGTGTCTGTTGTGTTGTGTGTTACTGTGTGTGTGTGTTACTGTGTGGTGTGTGTCCTGTGTTTGTGTTACCTTGTCTGTGTGTGTTTACTGTGGTGTTACTGTGTTGTTACTGTGTGTGTTACTGTGTGTTGTGTGTGTGTGTGTACTGTGTGTGTGTGTGTTTGGTGTGTGTGTGTGTTACTTGTGTGTGTGTGTGTGTGTCCTGTGTGGTGTGTGTGTGTGTCTGTGTGTGTGTGTGTGTGTCTGTGTTGTGTGTGTGTGTTGTGTGTGTGTGGTGTGTGTGTGTGTGGTTACTGAGTGTCGTGTGTGTTACTTGTGTGTTACTGTGTTGTGTCTGTGTGGTGTTACGTGTGTGTTACTGTGTGTGTGTGTGTGTTGTTACGTGTGTGTGTGGTCCTGTGTTGGGTGTGGTGTCTGTGTGTGGTGTGTGTTACTGTGTGTTTGTCTGTGTGTGGGTTGTGTTAAGCTGTGTGTGTGTTTACTTGTGTGTGTGTCTGTGTGTGTGTGTCGTGTGTTACTGTGTGTGTGTGTGTCTGTGTGTGTGTGTCTGTGTGGTGTGTCTGTTGTGTGTGTGTGTCTGTGTGTGTACTTTGTGTGTCTGTGTGTGGTGTGTGTGTGTCTGTGTGTGTGTGTCTGTGTGTTGTTGTTGTGTGTAATATTTCCGGTCGCACCCCTGAACTCACAATTAAACCCCGCTCCAAACACACCCCAGACCAAGGCAACAAAAATCAATTAGTCTCTAAAACAATACTAACCAGGGATCAATGAGACACACACACACACACCACAGTAACCACACACACACCACACACAGTAACACACCACACACACACACAAAGTAACACACCACACACACACACACAACACCACCACACAGTAACACACACACACCACACACAGTAAGCACACACACACACACGTATACACACCCACACAACACACACCACACAGTAAAAACACACACACCACACAGTAACTACACACCACCCACAGTAACACACACCACACACACACACAAGTAAACACACACACAGTGAACACACACCAGACACACACAGCACACACACACCACACACACGACACACACACACACACACACGTAACACACACACACACACACCAGACCACAGACACACACACACAGACCACACAGAGCACACAGACACACACACACAGACCACACACCACACAGTAACACACACCACCAGTAACACAGACACACAGTAACACAGACACACCACACACAGCACACACCACACAGAACACACACACAAGTAACAACACCCACCACCAGTAACAACAACACACACAGTAACACAGACACACCACACACAGACAGCACCAACACCACACCACAGACACACACACACAGTAACACACCATCACACCAGTAAAACAGACACACACAGCCAAACAGACACACACACACAGTAACCAGACAGACACACCAGACCACCACACCACACAGTAAACACACACACCACAGTAAACACAGAAACCACACACACAGACACACACACCAGCAGTAACACCACACACACAACACACAGACACAACACCACAGTAACACAGACAGACACAGAAAGACACACACACACAGTAACACAGAACACACACACACAGAACAACACCACACAGACAACACACACAATAACACCCACACAACAGCACACACAGAACAACACACACCAGTAACACACAGCCCCCACACCCACCAGCACCAGAACACCACCACACATCAGACACCACACACAGACACCCCTTCGTTAAAAACAAGAACAATTAAAGAAGAAAACCAAACGAGCGATCACGGATAGACCACGATGGACACGGCAGAACGCAGCCAAGAACCAGAACCAGTTCAAGACCTAGAGTTGTTCTGGTTCCAGCATCACCAAAATGTCTCCAATACCCTGGGAAAATGCTCATCGTATGAGGTGCTGGAGTCCCAGGTCCGATACCTAATAAGTAATCCTAATTACCATAGTAATCTCCTAACATTAGTAATCTTATACATTAGTAATCTCTCAAGCATTAGTAACTATTACCATTTAAGTAATTCTCTCCACAGAACCAGTTCTGAAGCCTCAGCACATTTTCCAAACCAGCAACAGTAAAAAGTGGAAGACAGTTTTTATTGTTTTAGAGTCGTTAGGTAGAAGGCTCGTGTGACCCTTTATTCTGTCAGATCGATTAATAATGATCGTTAATTGAATCGTTAATAATCTGAACTGACCTCCTGATTTGGATCAAGTTTCATTGGGATGAAGATTTGTAGGTCAGAAGATTATTAAATATAAAAGATGTTAGTGCACAGTAGAATTTATTTCAATCATAATTACATTAATTAAGAGAATTAACATAATAATGTGTAGTTTTGACTCCAAACTGATCAATAAACACCTGTAAACCATTTAATTATCTCCATATAAATATTTAAATCCGTGTTTTCTATGGAAAACTAATTTTCTACCAAAGTGAAATAATGACTCTTTAAATAATTACTTTAATATCTTTCAAATGATTAAGAACATTTCTGATTGTTTTTAAATATTAATCTTTATTTTTGACACATTAAGTTATTGTTATTGATATATTTCTCTTTATTTTAAATTGTCTTTATTTAGATAAAGTTTCTCATTATTTTGCTTATTAAGTATTTATTTTGATAAAGTTTTCCATTAATTCAGATATTCCATCTCATTATTTAGATAAGTTGTCCCTTTATTTAAAACCATTTTTTCTCCCTATAGATCAGTAATTAAGCTCTAATTGTTGATAAGCTGTCGAAACTGCTCCACAGTGTAACCGGGTCAGCAACCATCCACCCTGTGGTTCTTTACATTAATATAATATAATATATAATATATTTAATATTAATATATATTA